GGCATGAAAGTGGATGGCATTAAGATATAGATTTTTAAAAATTATTTTTTCTTTTTAAAATAACTTGTAATTGAAACCTCAGTTTTATAACAGTAGAATACCTTTTGAATAAAGGCCTCAAATTATAGTGGTAACTACAGTATCTCTTAGATCATTTTAAATATATGAAAAAAGCAACTAAATTGGATTCTTCATTTATTAAATGTAAAAGGCAGCAGTCATTGTCTTTGTCCTCAGGGGGTTTCCTGCTCCTAAAATGTATGAATATTTGAAAATTGAATAGAAAAACAAATTTTGTCTTTTGAGGAATACAAGAAAGCACTTTTTAAAAAGTGCATTGCTTGAGTTTTATAGAGACTTATCTCTGAATTCTGAGATAAAGTTGACATTAAGAAGACTTAAGATAGTGCTCTCTGGTCTTTATTTCAAAGAAACTGACTCCTGAGGATGTATAAAGCTTATTTTATCATGGTTTTTAAGATGGAAGGTATTAAGAAAGGAATGAGAATTTTTCTGAAAATCAGGGACTCTGGAAAACAGATGGTGAGGTTTGTAGTTTGAGTTTAATAGACAGAAAGGAAAGACTTAATTCTGTGATGAACTTTTTTCTTTTTTGTTTAACTTCACGAGTGTTAGATTCTTAAAAATGTGATAGACAGTGATTCCAGAAGGCCTAAATTTGTCCTCTGATTAAACAATGTTAGTCACTAAAGTTTGTCTTTTTGTAAAGCTTTATGAATTGTTTTTGCTTCATTTGTTCTTAACTGAAAGCACTTCTCAAAGCAGACCCTCTGCACTGGGTTAGTGCTTGTAGTATCCATCTTGAATTGGTTTGAATAACACTTCTTTGGGGAATCTTCAGGGAAAGGAAAGTTGTGTTAATTTAAATTTGTATAAATTGGTCTGCTTTGGGAAAATGCAGAGATCTAGTTGTATTCTATCACTAAGATGGGAATTTGGAGTGAGTTAAGTTTTTATTTAGAAAAAGTAATGGAAGATTGCTAAACCCAACCAGCTTGCAGTCGAGATTTGTTTCATAGTGATGAGTGAGGTAGAAAGGAATGTGGAGACCTGAGTTTGAGAGTTTCCTATTGAGCGATCATGGGGGTTGCCTTTAGCTCAGTCGGTCTGCCTCTTATCCTAGTGTGTACACAGACCCCTGCTCCTCGAACTTCAGAGTTCTCACCTATAAAATGGGAGTGATAATACTCTACTGTACAGTGCATCATTGTATATTCCGTGTCCCTGACAGGAGGGTGACATGCCTGCAGTCTTCGTGGAGGCAGCAGAGAGGCTGAGAGCCACTGCTGGTAGTCAGCGATAAAGACAGTCACTTGATAAAAGTGTGTGTGTGTGTGCGCGCACTCCACGGCTTTCATGATCTCAGTTTCCTGACCAGAAATTGAATCCGGGTTACGGCAGTGAAAGCCCAGAAACCTAACGACTAGGCCATCAGGGAACTCCCAAAAGTGATTTTTTTTGAGGGACCTATTTTGAAATTGGAGTTTGAATTGAGCCTATTTTAAAAAGGCATCTTTAACTGTGTAATGTATTATTGGTCTCTTGCAGTGGGTGACTTTAAAAAAAGGTTTGCCTTGTTAGAGAATTACTGCTTTGCCTAATAAATGACACTCACTGTCAGATTTAAGGTTCCCTTCAGGTCATTTCTTACTTTGTAGCACGTAGGTTGGATCAGCTTGTGGGTCTGGGAAGAATTAGGGACTTGTCTGAATCTCTTTTTCAGGTCATTCTAGAAGACAGTTTCAACTGAGGCAATGGCCAAAGTAGGTAAAACGGGAAGCCCAGAAAAGGCAGAAACTGAGGTGACTGGAATTAGTTGACAATGTTTGTTTCTGAATGGACTATAATTTTCCCTATTGTTAGGCTGCTGGCTATAAGCCGGCTATGGGGACCTGAGTGGAATGGTCATAGTGAACCCAGAGAATTCAATAGAAGAAAGTTTATTTCTTCTTCTCCATATGTTTCTTTAATTTTAACAACCCCCACACTCTGTGATAGATATTCTGCTTATGAGCATTTACTATTTTGACCAAGTTTTAAAGCCTAGTATGTTAGATTCCTGGGAAAGGAAAACTAGACTTAGTTTTGAAACTAGAAACGAGAAGGTAGTTCCCTTAGAGGAGAGTCAGCTGCTTGTTCTTTGAAGTGAATTCCGACACTATTCCCAGTGGGCTCCACTGAGCCAGAGTAGTGTCCAGGTTTTTGTGGTTGGAGCAAAAAGTTCTGTTGGGCAGACAACCTTTAGTGGCATTACACTGGGAGGAGTTGGGATTTTGAAGACATTCACAGTCATGTTTTTAATCAAATTTTACTTAGGTTCTTGGTTTTATAGACCCTCTGGAATATTTGCCTTTTTATCATTCTTAGGGCATTGGGAAAAGTGTTTAAGTGTTCTTTATTCACAGAAAGATTTTGTTCACTCCTGTAAAGAGTTTAGAATGAAACCTCTGCAATTATTTGGCTTTGACTTTTAGGGGTTCAAGAAGTGGGATTTCCTTGGGGTGACTTTTTGGAGGTATTGTTCTTGAGTTTTGTTTTTATCTTTGCCCCCTACTTCAGTGTCTTAGGGTAAGAGTTCCCTGACTTTAGTCTCATTTGTGAAATGAGGAACACTTACAAACTCTTAACAGGGAGACAGCCGTATAGTTTCTGAGTTTTAGGTGTTCAGCCACTGATAATGGGTTAAATTTGCACCTAGTATTTATGCTCATATCAAATTCCAGTGATATGACTATATCAGGGGTCAGTAAACTTTGGCCCATGAGTCAGATCTGGTCCATGATCTGTTTTGTATGGCACAGTGACTTAAGAACATTTTTTTACATTTTCAAAATGTAAAGATCAAGAGAATGAGAAGATAAGCCACAGAATAAGAGAAAATATTTGCAAAAGGTACAGCTGATAAAAGACCATTAGCTAAAGAACCCAATTAAAAAGTGGGCAAAAGACCTGAACAGGCACTTCACCAAAGAAGATATATAGATGGCGAGTCAGCATTTGAAAAGATTCCAACTTCACATGTCATTTGGGGATTGCAAATTAAAACAACAGGACTACACACCTATTAGAATGACCAAAATTAAAATTAAAAATTCTTGCAAGGAGATGGAACTATAGGAACTCTTACCCGTTGCTTGTGAGAATTACAAATTGATACAGCCACTGCGGAAGATATTTTGGCAGTTTATTACAAAACATACCCTTACCATATGATCCATCAGTCATACTCCTTGATATTTACTGAAATGAGTCAAAAACTTATGTCCCAACAAAAGCCTGCACAAGGATGTTTATATCAGCATTATTCATAATTGCTAAGACTTGGAAGCAGCCCAGATGTTCTTTAGGATGTGAATGGATAAAACAAACTGTGGTACATCCAGATAGTGGAATGTTATCCAGCGCTAAAAAGAAATGAGTTATTAAGCCGTGACAAGACATGGAGGAAACTGAAATGCGTATTATCAAGTGAAAGAAGCCAATCTGAGAAAGGTACATGCTGTATGATTCCAACAAGGTGACATTTCTGGAAAAGGCAAAACTATAGAGACATTAAAAAGCTCAGGTGTTGCCAGGGGTTCAAAGGACGGGGGCAGGGAGGGATGAATAGGCAGAGCATAAAACAATTTTTAGCACAGTGAGATGATTCTGTATGGTATTACATTGGTGCGTATGTGTGTGCTGTGTAACTCAGTCATGTCCAACTCTTTGCGACCCCGTGGGCTGTAGCCTGCTAGGCTCCCATGTCCGTGGAATTCCCCAAGCAAGAATACTGGAGTGGGTTGCCATGCCCTCCTCCAGAGGATCGTCCCGACTCAGGGATCGAACCTGTGTCTCCTACGTTTCCTGCATTGGCAGGTGGGTTCTTTACTGCAAAGCACCACCTGGAGAGTCCACTACATTGGTGGACAGTTGTCATTATTTGTTGTTCAGTCACTAAGCTTTGCTCAACTCAGCGACCCCATGAGCTGCAGAGTGCCAGGCTTCCCTGTCCTTCACGATATCCTGGAGCTTGCTCAAACTCGTGTCCATTGAATCAGTGATGCCATCCAGCCATCTCATCCTCTGTCACCCTCGTCTCCTCCTGCCCCGTCTTTCCCAGCATCAGAGTCTTTTCCATCATCTGTTTGTCCAAACCCATGAAATGTACAACCGCACGAGTGAACCCTAGGGTTCCCTGACAGTCCGGTGGTTGAGTCCTCCTCGCAGTGCAGCAGACATGGGCTCACTCCCTGGTCCAGGAAGACCGCACGTGCCTTTGGAGCTGCTGAGCCTGTGCTCCAGAGCCACAAGCCGCAGCTGCTGGAACCTGTGTGTCCGAGAACCTGTGCTCGGCAGTGAGAGAAACCCCGTCTGTGAGAAGCCTGAGCACTGCAACTAGAGAAAGCCCACCCGAAACAGCGGAGACCCAGAGCAAAGCCAAAAATAACTCAGTAATTAAATTTAAAAAAGAGAGTGAACCCTAATGTAAACTGTGGACTTTGGGCAATTATGAGGTCAGTGTAGGTTCATCAGTTATAACAGATGTACCACAGCAGGATGGAGATAGTGGGGTACTGTATGTTTGGCTAGGGGGGACAGGGGTTTCAGGGGAACTCAGTACTTTGCTCAGTTTTGCTGTGAACCTAAAACCGCTGTTAAAAATGAAGTTTAGTAATGTAAAAGGCTGTCAAAGCAAAACAAAAGGATAATGTGCGACAGAGACCGTACACAGTTTACAGAGCCTAAAGTATTGTTTTTATCTGGCCTTTCATGGAAAAGCTTCACCGAGCCCAGGACTGTATCACGGTGCATCTCGGAGACGAGTGCCTAGGTTCTCTGGTGTCGTGCCTGGTCCTCTGGTCCTTCTGGGGCTCAGTGTCTCTCAGGGCGAAGTTGTTCTCTTGAATGTATTTCTGCTTCACCTGCAGGTATATGAGTGACCTAAAGCTGCAGATTAAAACGGAGAGAGAGCAGTGCCAGCTGCGCGCAGGGCAAGGATGCCGATTCCTCCTCCGCCTCCACCCCCGGGTCCTCCTCCACCTCCCACTTTTCATCAGGTAGGTCGTCCCTCCACTCGGCTCTCTCAGAACATGAACGCATACTTAGGGCTTCCTGGTGTCAGACATAATGTGGTGTGGGAAGATGGAGACTGCATAAGTAAAGTCTGTCTTCCTCAATTAGTTCTAATTCCCGAGAAGTCCTCTTAGGACCATAATGGCTTGTCTTGGCTTTCCTATCCTGGTTCAGTCTAAGTGGAGATTTGAGCAGGTGGCGTCAGTGTTTCTTCCCTGTTAAACTATTTGTGATATAAAGGTCGGGGTGTCCTTTCTCTCTGCCCCAAAAGAAGAAAAATGACTTAGCTAGCTAGTTTGTTTCAGTACTAGGACTAGAGCTCAGGCCTGCCAACTTCTGTTTTTTTTCTTGTAAGTTTTGGGTTTTAGACATTTTGTTTGAGAGTATGTATGAATCCCCTTTTAGAACCTTGTTTATTTTTGGCTGTGCTGACTCTTCATTGCTGCGTGGGCTTTTCTCTAGTTGCGGTGCTCAGGCTTCTCATTGAGGTGGCTTCTCCTGTGGAGCATGGGCTCTAGGCGTGAGGGCTCAGTATGTGGCACGTGAGCTCCGTGGTAGTGATTCTTGGGCTCTAGAGCACTGGCACGATAGTTATGGCACATGGGCTTCATTGCTTAGAGGCATGTGGGATCTTCCTGGATCAGGGATTGAACCCATGTTTCCTGCCTTAGCAGGCAGATTCTTTGCTACTGAGCCACCAGGGAAGACCTGGATCCCCTTTTCGGATGAAATTTTATGTGGAAGACCAATAAGTAAAGTAGGTAAAAGCAGAACTGCTCTTGATAGAGTAGAGTTCAAAGATCCACAGTTCTCCTTGGATCCCTGTAGCCTTTAGATTACTGCCCTGCATTGTTCTGTCTTAGTCATTCCCTCACAGCCTTTTCACTGGGGGCTTACTATGTGTCAGAGACTTGGCTGACTACAATTTAGAAAAGCCACGTAATTTTACTCTGTACTTTAATTTTCTCTATACTTTTTAGTTTTCATTTTTAAAAACCTTTTTTTATTGTTTTTGGCTGTACCACTCGACTTGTGGGATCTTAGTTCCTTGCCCAGGGATTGACCTGTGCCCTCAGCAGTGAAGGTGCAAGAGTTGCACCAAGAACTGCCAGGGAGTTCCCGTATAAGAGCTTATATGTTGCTTGACTCTCCACACGAATTTATTTAAAAATTAAAAGGGGAAATATGCAGATAAGCAAAAAGAAGCAGATAAAAATCATCTGTAATCCTGTCAACCTGAAATGAAACAGTTTCTGCTTTTAAGGGTCCCCAGTATAATGAGTGAGACAGACAAGTCAACAGACAAAATCCATGCTATGCAGAGATAAATGGGGCCATAAGAAGGGCACCTCACCAGTGGTCGAAGGAGAGGAGGCTGCCATAAGAGAAGCTTCTAGGGGGAGATGATACTGAGCTGAATCTTGAAAGATGAGTAGAGTTTAGCCAGAAAAGGGGGGAAGGTAGGCACTTGAAGTTGCTTAACTGGCATCCTCCTCGTTGTTCTTTTCAGTTGAACTTTTAGATTACTTTCAGCTTTATGCTATTATAAACTGTTTTTTCCTGTTACTATCTTTGTGCACCGCTCCAATTATTTTTTTCAAGTTAATTTCTGGAAGTAGAACTCTTGTGCTAGACTTTTTATTTTTTGGCTGCGCCTCGTGGCATATGGGCTTCCTAGGTGGCTCAGTGGGTAAAGAATCCACCTGCAGTGCAGGGGACGCAGGAGGTTTGATCCCTGGGTCGGGAAGATCCCCTGGAGGAGGGTGTGGCAGCCCACTCTAGGGCTCTTGCCAGGAAAATCCCATCGACAGAGGAGCCTGGAGGACTGCAGTCCATGGGGTCACAAAGAGTTGGACATGACTGAAGCGACTGAGCACGCACATGTGGCATGCAGGATCTTAGTTCCATGGCCAGGGACCAGGCCTGTGCCCCCTGAAGTGGAAGCACGGAGTCCTAACCACTGGACCACCAGGGAAGTCCTGTGCTGGGCTTTAAAAGGTGTTTTAATGCACAGATTACTTTCTAGAAAAATCATACCAATTTATCTAGCCACATGTAGTAGAGAGAAAGCGTGCCTGTGTTCCTGAGCCTTGTGGTCGCCGCAGGGTAGGTGTTTGTTCCGTGTACTTTGGGACATCTTCAGTGTGCCCGGCACCGGACAGGCAGTGCCTTCACAAAGCTAACAGACTCTTTCTGTAATTTTAACCTTAACCAATATCATAGGTAGATAATAATACTGCTTTACACTACTTTTTTATTATTATAGTTGAAGGTTTTTTTTTTTTCCTTTTCATATTTACTGGCTCTTTTGACTTTCTTTACTCAGTATTGTTTATGTGTGTGTGCTAAGTCGCTGCAGTCATGTATGACTCTCTGCAATCCTATCTATGGACTGTAGCCTGCCAGGCTCCTCTGTCCATGGGATTCTCCAGGCAAGCCTACTGGAGTGGGTTGCCATTTCCTTCTCCAGGGGATCTTCCCGACCCAGAGATCAAACTCAGGTCTCCTGCATCTCCTGCTTTGCGGGCAGATTCTTTATCTGCTGAGCCACCCGGGAAACCTCAGTACTGTTCATAATCTTTCTTGCTTATTATCCTATTGATTTCTGAGTCATCTTGTTTGTTAATGTTGTATAGATTTAGAACACTACCTTTGTTTCTATCATATGTTACATTTGTCACTGATAATTTTTCCTTCCAGTGTGTTATCTGCATATTATATTCCTAAGTGAATAATCTGTAATAAAGAAATCTGTTGATCTTTTCTTGTATTTTGGTTGTCTTGGTAAGAAGTCCTTCCCTTTACCTATTTTTTTCCATATAGTACTTCTGTGGGTTTATTTTTTTTACACTTGACATTTTTAATTCAGCCAGAGTAAAGCCCTAAGGTAGGTATTTAACTTTATTATTATTTTTTTCTGAAAATTAACCACTTGTTGGACTTCCCTGGCATTCAAGTGGTTAGGACTCTGAGCTTTCACTCCGGGGGGCTCCGGTTTGAGCCCTAGCCAGGGAACTAAGATCCTACATGCCCCATGGTCCATCCCCCCAGAAAATTAACCGCTTGTTTTTAACACCTTGATTTAATAATCTGTCCTCTCTGCACTGAACTATACTTTTATTATTTCTTATATAGATCTGGGCCTGCTTATGGAGTGTCTGTTTTGTTCCATTAATCTAGGTGTCTGTCCTTGTGTTCTTATTATAGTTGGTCATAGGAATATTTCAAGATTTGAATGAGATAATGAAAGTAATGTGCTTATTATTATTAGCACAATGCTTCTGGTATAGTAGGGACTCCATAAATGTTTGCATTGATGATGATGATACAGTACAGATAAAGTATCTGACACAAGCCTAGCACATAGGTACTCTGTTAGTATTGGTGCAGGCCTCCTATCAGAAGCCTCTAAATAGGAGGGAGAGCTATACCGTTCACCGAAGGGACAGCATGAGAAAAGGGTGTGAGAAGGATAGTAATGGACTATCGTTTGGCACATGTACCTTGTCAGGCTAGACAGGCATTGCGTGGAATCCAGTTTGTTGAAGACATTTATCCTGAACTTGTGATGAAGAGGATATTGAAGGTGAACTTTTATTTTCCTCTTCCTTCAGGCAAACACCGAGCTGCCCAAGCTGAGTAGAGATGAGCAGCGGGGTCGAGGCGCCCTCTTACAGGACATCTGCAAGGGCACTAAGCTGAAGAAGGTGACCAACATTAATGATCGGAGCGCTCCCATCCTTGAGAGTGAGTCTAAGCTTCATCACCTTGTGAACCGCTGGGATCCCAGGGTTGACTTGGAGACTCGGCCTGGCTCTCATTTTTTTATTGTTGGGTCTTGGGTGGGAGTTGTGTTAGGGTGTTCTGTGACTGTCTTCTCATCTGTACCTTTGAATGCCTTAGAAATTTCTTTTTGATCTTTGAGGAAGATTTTCGGGGTCTTAAGCCTCCCGTCTGGGCACATCCTTGGCTTTTCTCTGAGGAAACCACCACAGTCCTGAAAACTGATACGCTGAAGCCAGTAATGCTTTTATAATTGCAGCAAGTGTTCTTGCTGAAGGGCCTCTGGGGAGCTGGCTCACACCTGGGTCCCAGAGCCATCAGCCCCTGATTATCTGTGACTTGGAGAGGAGAGCTTAGAAAACCCTCTTCATCCTGGTTACCCCTCTGCCCTAAATAAAGGAAGATTGGCTTCTTGTTCCTTCTCTCCTCACAGCCCAAAGTTTCATCCCCATGCTTACTTGAAGCTGTGGAGCAGAGAGGCCCACGTTCTATTTCAGTGGAAGGACAAAAGCAGTGGCGGTTTGCAAATTAAAGCCCAGGGGGAAGGACAGGTTTCTTCTCAGGATTGACTTGGTCACCAGCTCAGAGCACACATGAAATGACAATCCTAATGGTGTGCTTTCCAGAACCCAAAGGAGGCGGTGGTGGTTACGGTTCTGGAGCAGCTGCCCTGCAGGCCAAGGGAGGTCTCTTCCAAGGAGGAGTGCCAAAGCTGCGCCCTGTGGGAGCCAAGGACAGTTCAGGTATGTGGCAAGGACTTCCTTAGGGTATTTCCCAAGTGCGTTCATTTTTGACTGATCCCAAGCGGGACCTCTGGAAATCAGGAGTATGGTAGAGGTGTGACAAAGGGGAGTGGGAGCAGGGGGGAGTGACAGAGTAGACTAAAGCAGAAGCTGAGGGATTAGATGAAAGTGCGGTCAACTTGCAGCAGTATTATTTGTTAATGGACCCTGAGCCTGAAACCAGGTTAAAACCCAGAACCGTACCTGCTGCCATGCAGGTTGCACCGAGGAGGTGGGGTGACGTGGAGATAACTCACCACCATGCGCCTGGCTCTGTTGACCTGGTGCTTTCTGCTGTATTTGTAGAGAACCTGACTGGTAAACCAGCCCTCCAAGTCCCCAGTTCCCGAGCTGCTGCCCCGAGGCCTCCAGGGACCACAGCCAGTGGGCGTCCTCAAGATGACACAGACAGCAGCCGGGCTTCACTCCCAGAGCTGCCCCGGACGCAGAGACCCTCATTACCGGACCTCTCTCGGCCCAATCCCACCAGCAGTACGGGGATGAAGCACAGCTCCTCCGCCCCTCCTCCGCCTCCCCCGGGGCGGCGTGCCAACGCCCCCCCCACGCCCCTGCCTATACACAGCAACAAGGCCGTGGCCTACAACAGAGAGAAACCCCTGCCGCCCACGCCCGGACAGAGGCTTCACCCTGCTCGAGAGGGACCTTCTGCTCCACCCCCAGTCAAGCCGCCTCCTTCCCCTGTGAATGTCAGATCGGGACCAAGTGGCCAGTCTCTGGCGCCTCCTCCGCCTCCTTACCGCCAGCCTCCTGGGGTCCCCAACGGACCCTCCAGCCCCACGAATGAGTCAGCCCCCGAGCTGCCACAGAGACACAATTCTTTGCATAGGAAGACTCCAGGGCCTGCCAGAGGCCTGGCGCCTCCTCCACCCACCGCAGCCTCCCCCTCTTCACAGAGTAATAGGCCACCTCCCCCAACCCGTGACCCTCCCAGCCGGGGAGCAGGTAAGTGCCTGGAAGCTCCTTGTGTTTCCTCTCATACCGTCACCCCTCTCCCCAAAGCTCTCCTTCAGGGACTGAAGTGAATACTCATTCGACAGGTTTATTGAGTGCCTTTTTACATGTCAGATTCTGTTGTTAGGGAAACAGCAATAAGTAAAAAAAAGACAAAAAATCCTGTTCTGAACACTGGGGGACAAAGTTAATAGAAAAAAAAAATATATATATATATATATTATATATATATGTATGTATGTATAAAGAAAACAAGCAAAAATATATATATAAACACATAGTATATAGATGCTTTAGAGAAATACGAAGCAGAGAAAGGGGATGGGATATACTGGAGTGAGGATGAGGAAATACTTAAATTGCAAGGATGAGGGTAAAAGTAGGGTCAGGGAAGGCCTTACTGGTAAAGTGACAGTTTGGCAAAGACCTGAAGAAACTGAGGGAATGCACTAACCAGGCATTGAGACCAGCAGATGCTAAGGCCCTGAGACCGGGGACAGCAGGGAGACTGTTGTGGCAAGACCAGGATAGGTGAGGGGACAAGCGACAGGATGTGGAGGTCAGAAAGCTAGACTCCATGAAAGAGTAGCCGAGGACTTTGTGAAGACTTCAGGTTTTACTCCGTGTGAGGTGGCAGCCACTGGGTCGGGGGGAGGATTGGAACATGGAAGTAGCATTGATCTACCTTTTGAAAAGGTCACTGGATCCTGTGTTGAGAAAGACCACAGGAGGACAGAGGGGCCAAAGGAGAGCACTTGGGAGGCTAGGGCAGTGAACTGGGTATATGGGTGAATGACAGCAGGTTTGGGGAAAGATCGGTGTTTCATTTTTCTTTTTGTTTTGCTTTTAAATACTTATTTATTCAGCTGCCTCCGGCCTTAGTTGCAGTGTGTGGGCTTCTCTCTAGCTGTAGCTCGAGGGCTTCCTTGGCCCGCACCACGTGGGATCTTAGTTCCCTGAACAGGGATTGAGTCCCCTTCATTGGAAGGTGGATTCTTAACCACTGAACCACCAGGGAAGTCCTAGATGTTCAGTTTTGAATGTCAAGTTTGAGGCCTGAGAGGAAATCATGGATTGGCGATTGGCTCCGAGACTGCAGTTCAGGGGAATGGTCCGGGCTAGAGAGGGGAATTTGAAGAATTTTGAGAACTACGTGCTGGGGTGAGACCACCTGGGGCGTGAGTTCATTGAAGCAGAGGAGAGGTCTGGGGCCTGAGTCCTTCCTGTAGGAGAGGCCAGAGCAATGAGAGTACTAAGGCAGAGGAAGCTGAGGAAGGGCCTCGAGTGAGGAAGGGATGCTGAGAGAGTCATGGGAGAAGTCCGAGACAGTCAGTGAGCGCCCGGGGCCTGTGCTGCAGGTGGGTCAGGTGAGTTGAAGGCTGAGAGTGACACTGGTCTCAGCAACACGAAGAGCCACAAACTACCCTTCTGAGTAGTTTTAGTGGAGTGCTGAGGAGAGGGGGCTGTGAAAGTCTGGTTGGATTGGGTTCAGGTGTGCGGGAATAGGAGCGGAGTTGATGAAGACAGCAGTAGATATGTAGGGAGTTTGCTGTGAAGGGGAGAGGGTTGCAGCTATACGGAATGGTTGCTGGAGGAGGATATGAGATTGAGGGTTGATCCCCCTGCCCCATGCTCCAGGATGGGAGAGATTTCAACATCTGTTTGTACGCTGATGGAATGATCCTATAGAGAGGGGGAGATTGCCTGGGTAATCCTCAGGGAGGCAAAAAGGAATGAAATCTGATCCACAGGTCAAGGGTTGACTTTAGGTAAGAATTCAGCTAGTTCTTCTGGGTAGCAAGAGGGATGGCTGGCAAAGAAGCAAGTGGGTAGGTGGTTGTAGTCCTGGGAGCATGTGGAAAGTATCTTCTGTTTTTATGGGTTTTTTTTTTTTTGGTTCTGTTTTCTTGGTGAGTTTGAAAGCAAGGACATCTGCTGTGAATGTGGGTAAGGAGTTAGAGGGAGATTTGAGGAGAGAAAAGAGGGCATGAAATGGCCATCTGGGCGCACAGGTGAATGAGTGAAAGAGGGAAGTGTGCTGCGATGACCAGTGACACAGAAGGCTCGCTCCAGCTTAGGGGCCACATGTTCCAAGTGAGATTCATCAACTTGAAGTGTGTTCAGCTGCGTCTCTGCCAGTGAGTCAGGGCTGAGTTGGGATTAACCAGGTTAGCATTTTGTAGGCATGTGTGACCATGAGGGAGAGAGGGGCAAGGGAGGTAAGGGGATATGTAAGGGAGTGATTGTCACAAGGGACCATGCTGCTAAACTGGGTGAGGAGAAGATTCAGGAACCTTTGAAAAGGTGGAAGAGAGGGGAGTTCCATGATGTGACGGTGAGCTCTCTGGACTCTGAATCAAGCAAGAAGTTGTGTCATCTTTCAAAATAGCTCGAGTGAAAGTAGAGAGTGAAAGAGACTCTGACAGCTCTCTGGAGCCTTCTTAGTGTTCTATAGTGTTAGTCGCTTAGTCGTGTCCAACTCTTTGCAATCCTGTGGACCGTAGCCTGCCAGAATCCTCTGTCCATGGAATTCTCCAGGCAGGAATACTGGCGTGGGTTGCTGTTCCCTTCTCCAGGGGATCTTCCCAACCCAGGGATCGAACCTGGGTCTCCTGCACTGAAGGCAGATTCTTTACCATCTGAGCCACCAGGGAAGCACTTCACAGGCCCAGGAATTTTGGCTCCCATATTCTGTTGTATCAGCTCCCCTGGTGGCTCAGTGGTAAGCAATCTGTATGTCAATGCAGGAGACATCCAGGTCCCGATCCCAGGGTTGGGAAGATCCCCTGGAGAAGGAAATGGCAACCCACTCTAGTATTCTTGCCTGGGAAATGCAATGGACAGAGGTGCCTGGCAGGCTACAGTCCATGGGGTCACAGGAGAGTCAGACACAACTTCGAGACTAAATAGTAACAATTCTTTTGTATCACTGGGCTTTGAGCCGCACCCTTCACAAATGGCTTTTGAACTTTGGCTTTAGATACCCCACAGGTATAGGTGAAATCATCGATTAGGGAGGTTTGTCACCAGGAAGCATGTATTAAAGGCCCATTAACCTGTCCGCCGCTTGACTAAGTACAGAGACGTCTATTCTGGGAGCTGACCATGGCATCAGGTGGTCACGCAGGAGCCTAGTACATGGCTGATCCTGTGTCTCCCTGGCTTTAGCCATAAGGATATACTCCCAACATGATCTTTGGTTTTACAGAGTTTTGGTTAAAAAGTTTTTTTTTAACTAAAGAATTTTTTTAAATGACCCTTTTCTGAGCCAGAGCCCATATCTTTCTAAACCCAACCAGGAATAGAAGCAGGGGAAAACGTAATTTCCGTGGGTTGAATTGAGTCGTTTTAAATGTCTGTAGACTTCTTGCTTCCCACTTCTCAGTTCTTTCTTTGTGATTCCTTTAGAATAATGTGAAGTTATAAGTCTTGTTCTTCTATTAGCCATCACCAACTTTGAAGACTGCCATAGGCCTTGGCCTACTTTCTGCATCAGTAACCAGAGCAACAGTTCTTAAAAATGATACTCTGAAAAAAAGAAAAAATTGAGATATTTTAGTCAGAGATCTTTTGAGTATTGGCTCCATTGTTTGTGAGATTGGGCCTATCACTCTGATTTCTGAGTTTGTTTCCTGATCTGTAAAATGATATTCATAGTACTTTCGGAGGTGGTTGTAAATAAAAGAACGCATAGAAGTGCTTTATAAACTGTAGTGTGCTGGTGAGTTTAGTGGTTTTTATGCAGAGGGCTTCTGGGTAGTTTTCATGGACTTATCTCTATTAATTAATCATACTATGATAACATGTTATAATGTACTTTGGTTTCTTTATGAATGATTTACATTTGAAAGAATATGTAAAAAGGCAAAAGAATATGTAGAAAAGGCAAAAAGAGTCTTTTGCCTTGCCTAGGGTGCTCAGAGACCAAAAATATCCCTTCCTATTGGTCTATAGAGTTTCTTTTTGAATTTTTCCTCTGTAGAGTAAAATACTATTTTGAAGGGCACTTTTTCTTTGGAAAAGAATCAAGGATAGAGTGGGTGGTTAGGTTTAGCCGATGTAAGTACAACATTGTAAATCAGCTATGTCTGTGTGCTCAGTCCTGTCCACCTCTTTGCCACCCCATGGACTATAGTTTGCCAGGCTCTTATGTCCGTGGAATTGTCCAGGCAAGAATATTGGAGCAGGTTGCCATTCCCTACACCAGGGGGTCTTCCCAACTCAGGGTTCGAACCTGGGTCTCTCACAGTGCAGGCAGATTCTTTACCATCTGAGCCACCAGGGAAGCCCTGCTTCAGTTTAAAACAAAAGAATCAGTAACATCATACTTTACTCAAAATTGGGTTTATCTTGGATTACAAAAGTTGATCTTTCCACCTGAGGTTTCTTTTGCACACTGCTGGTCTCTTGGGGTCATTGGGTTCCAGCTCTGTCACTTGAAATAGTCTTAAAACTGAATGTGACAAACAGCAGAACCTGGTCAGGATTACCGTCCCTGAGCTAAGGAAACCAAGCAGGTGGTTCTTCGTCCTGCTCCATTTTGCCTGTCCAGGTTGGCTCTCATCACTGCCACCTGCTCACAGCCTCACTGGTGTCCTTTTGAGCCTGGCTGATGCTGTCTACTTTACTTGCCCTATCCCCACCAGGGAGTCTTGGTAGACACAGATTTCCAGGACCCTAAGAAATCTGAGCATGAGGGAAATATTTTGAGAATGACCCAAAAGAGATTTTGTTTGAGCAGATTTGGTACGAAAACAGGGTTCAAAGATCTGCTGGGAGGTGTTAAGGAGGTTTCTCTAATTATTACCTCTAATGGACACTGTCCGTGCTTACACAGACCTTGGAGATTGAGGGAGAGTTTACGTTCTGAGTGTGTCTTGTGGGAAGCTAAAACTGACCTTTACTGGGCCTACAGTGCCAGACTCCTTGTCTACAAGCATCAGCCCATTACTGTTTCATGCTTGCCTACGGTTACTCTATAGAAATTCTGACAGTAATTCAGGAGGAATAATACATACTCTTATTATTAAGACAGTGTTGTTTGTTAAGCAAAGTAGTCTCTCCATGTACTGTGTAGGTAACAACTTACTGGGCATAGCCTAGGTACTAAAAAACACACTCCATCTTATTGGGTTATACATTTGTTGGGGAGGTAATTAATACTTGTGGTAATTATGAAAAGCAGTATATAGCAGTTTTCTTACTATGAAAGAGTAGGCGTGTTCTGGGTCTGTTAGATCTGTGACCTTAGATAAATAGCCAGAGTCCCACTTTCCTCATTTATGCAATGCAATGGGGGTTATGCCACATACTTGTACAGGGCTGGCTACAAGAAGTTTTAAAGATTGAGTACACCGGCTCAGTAGTTGTGGTGTGTGGGCTTAGTTGCCCTGCAGCATGTGGGATCTTCCTGGGCCGGGGATTGAACCTGTGTTCCTTGCATTGGCAGATAATTCTTAACCACTGGACCACCAGGGAAGTCCGATGTCCAGCGTACTTTTGATATTATCTAATGCTTGATGGCAGATTTTTGTCTTTTACGGGTGAATTTGATATTTGGAAATGACCAGAAGTCAGAGTCAGACATAGTTAAGAATATTTTTGTTGGTGCTGCAACCTCAGAAAATGGGAAATGACCATCATATAATAATATTTATGGATCTGTCTGACAAACTGGGTTTGGAGACAATTCTAAAGAGGCTTTCCCGATTTTTTTTTGAGCAGTGAGCCTGTCACTGGAAATATGTAACTTCTGTCAATGAAACTATTATACATAATGTGAAAGGCACACATTTTAGTTTGTACTGCTGAGTACTAGAATAAGTGACATAGTCTACAAGTGCTGTCAGGGAACAAAGGAGGGAATCAGAATAGAGTGGATTGCTTTGAGAAAGTCTTGAGAAGATGGGAATTGAGTTAAACCTTCAAGGATAGGTAGGATTTGATAGTAAGGACTGGTCACAAGAGGAAAGTGTAGGTAATTCAGGTTATTTAGCAAATATTGATCAAATACCTACCATTTGCCATACATCTGGCTGAGCTTGGGAATTCAGATGAACGGACACTGCTCTGACTTTAAGGAATGTACAGTATACTGGGAAAGAAGCACATATAATGAATAATTATAATATAGCATAGTGGAGTAGTCAAGAGAGACAGAGGTAACAGTGGGAGTGTGGAAGAATGGTGCCAGTTCAACCTAGGAGGCAAGGAAGGAAGGAATGAAGGCGAGATCAGGTTACCTATGTGGTAGCTTACTGTGTAAGAAAGGAAGATGGGGTGGGAGGGGGGACCGGGATGGGGAATACATGTAAATCCATGGCTAATTCATTTCAATGTATGACAAAAACCACTGCAATGATGTAAAGTAATTAGCCTCCAACTAATAAAAATAAATGAAAAAAAGAAAAAAGAAAAAATAATAAAAATAAACAAAGTAAAAAAAAAAAAAAAAGAAAGGAAGATGGGGTGATACTTGTGGAAGCTAAGGATTTGAAACTTTATGAGGTAGGAAATGCAAAGCCCTTGGAAAAGTTTGAGCTAGTATTTCAGGGAGATTAGTGAGTTGTTGGTATGCAGAATGGATGGGAAGGCTAAGAGATCAGAAGCAAGGAAAACAGCGGAGAGGCTTTTTGCAGTAGAACCAGCTAAAAATGAGAAAGCCCTGACTTTGAATTGTGGAGGCAGGCGTGGAAAAGCCGAGAAGAAATCATCACGAATAAGTAGAGTTCTTGCCTGACTTGTCATGGGAAGTGAAAAAGGGTCATCTATTCATTCTGAACTTTGTCTCTGGAAGAATGTGATGTTGCTAAAGAAACAGGAGGACTTCCTGGCAGTCCGAGTGGTTGGGGCTCTATGCTTCCAGTGCAGGGGGCATGGGTTCAACCCCTGGTCAGGGAAACTTAAGATCTCACATACTGCACAGTGCAGCCAACTAAATAAAGTAAAATAAAGAAAGTAAAAATTTAAAAAAAGAAACAGGGATGAGAGGAAGGGGATGTGACATTCAACATGCTGCCCAGAGGCTCACAGTCTGGTTCTTCGGGAAGGCACCGAGATGCTCTTCTGGCCCATGTCTCTCTCATCCCTCTTCCCATCACCGTTTCTGCATCCAAGCCTAACTGCTTTTGATTCTAATTGCAGCTCCTCCACCCCCGCCACCAATGATCCGAAATGGTGCCAGGGATGCTCCCCCTCCCCCCCCACCATACCGAATGCATGGGTCAGAACCCCTGAGCCGAGGAAAGCCCCCACCTCCGCCCTCAAGAACGCCAGCTGGGCCTCCTCCGCCACCGCCGCCCCTGCGGAACGGCCACAGAGATTCCATCACCACTGTCCGGTCTTTCTTGGGTAAGTAGCCGGCTGCATTAGTCTCGTAGCTCCTAAGGGCCTTCACTGACTGCAGTGGCCACGGCCACTTAGTACCCTCCTCACCGCAGTTCCTCTCCTGACTTTCCTTCAGACTTCTGTCCCCAGCCATGCACATTGCTTTCCTTAGGTGAATTCTCCGCTCGACTGCTTTGGAAGAGATTAACAGTAAAATCAGCAAGTGTTTTGCTAACTCTCAAGCCACTCTCTTGCTCCTCAAGGCTCATTATTTGTGGTTAGCTTTTAGGTCCGAGACTGTATCCTCTTCAGGATTATTGAGACAGGAATTTCGTATTCTCCGAGGAAGAATTCAGGCTCCTTTCTGGACCTTTGAAAACAGAACATTGTATGCACAATATTTATCTGATAATCCAAAGCCACTGACTAGCTCTGTTACTTTGAAGTCGTCACTTCATTTTTCTGGACCTCACTTCCCTTATCTGTGAAACAAGGAGATTGACTAAATTGACTAGCGTTATCAGGTCCACTTTTCCAGGGTTATAAATGAATCTTGGGCTCCACCTGAGAGAGTCTGATTCATTAGGTCTGTGATGAAAGTTTGTCCAGCAGGTATTGTTAGACTCTCTGTTGAGGGACAGGGAGGCCTGGTGTGCTGCAGTCCATGGGGTCGCGAAGTGAGCATGACTGGGCAGCTGAACAGCTGTTAAGGAATTCTGGAGAGATCTGCACGGTTCATTTTAGCCTGCGTGCTGCAGGCTCTTCAATGACTACCCCTTCTCTGCCCTGCCCTGGTCTGTTCCTGTTAAGTGGACTAGGGTGTTTGCTTAGAAGATATGCCTTGTGGAATGTGATCAAGTCACACCCATAGAAGACTTGGGCTTTCTTTTAGAGGAGCCATGGGAGGTAGGAGCAGAGGGCATGACGTGGCTATCCCAACTGTGTTACAAAACTCACTGAGGGGAGCCCGGACTGAAAAGGAATTACCTGGTCAAAATCTCTCACTGGCTGGTGACAGATCTTCCCAGGTTAGCTTAATTTCTACCAGTTTGTGGATTCAGTTCAGGTGGTTTCCCATGGTGATAGTCTTTAAGATGACTGTGTTACTGAAACAGAATTATATTTCCTTCCCCTCCCAGGCAAACAGCTGGGCTCCTTTAATTAGGCGGTGATAGGAATTAATGCTCTGTTCTTTTGCAGATGATTTTGAGTCAAAGTATTCTTTCCATCCAGTCGAAGACTTTCCTGCTCCAGAAGAGTATAAACACTTTCAGAGGATATATCCCAGCAAAACAAACCGAGGTAAGAAGAGAATCGAGGAAGTTCTGCCATAACTTTGTAGGCTATAGAATTGATGTGTGCTTTTCTTAGGTTAACATTTGCTGCTTCTTGTCTGCATTTTCTTAAAAAGACAAAACCTCATCCCAGGTTTTAAAGGGTAGCTCCAAGAGCCTGTCTGTCTCTCGTTTTAGGAATGTTTGGGTGATTCTGGGTCTGGTGAGTGACTTTATGTATGTGGTTTTTATTATTTTTTTTTCCAGCTGCCCGTGGAGCCCCACCTCTGCCCCCCATTCTCAGGTGAAGCCTGGCTTGGTCCTGTTCCTCAGGAAAAGGATGGACCCTCTCCTCTTCTCAGATGGTCCCTTCCATTCCCCTGAAACCTGCATGACAGCTCCTGACGTGTTTCTCCAGTGCAACCAACCTCTAGACTCCAAGCGTCCTCCCAACTCACCTCCATCTATGCATCTCATCTCTGGACTTGGTGACCGGACTCTCTGTATTGACAGTAGGGCCTCAAACCCTGCATCCATCCCTCTAGCAAGCCCTGCTGGCCAGATGAGGAAGAAGCTTCCATGTCTCCTGCTTTCCTCTGGGGAAAGGTGCCTTGTTGTGATGAATGAACTCATTGTCGGGGTGGGGTGGGCTGGAGAATGGTCCTCCCACCTTCTCCTACCCACTGTAGGGAAGTGGGTGGAGAGGAACTTGGTGGCTACATTATATTTCTTCATTTTAGGAAGCTGGTATGGCCAGGACTTCCAGGAGTGGGCATTTTTAGTGAAACGGGAAAGGAGTTTGCAGAGAAATGATCTGTTTTAAAGGTCAGGTTTGGAGCATAGGCAAGGAAATGGATCTGCTCTATTTTTAGGGGTATTTTGGTTTTGCTGTAACCCCACCTCATGCCCATACCCAGAAATAGGCCGGATATAAACACTAAATACTAACCAGTTGAACTAAACATCAATGAAAAGAGAGGGTGAAATAAACTGGGCATCCTTTCAGAGCTAGTCAGTTTCTCTGCAGCACGGGGACCAGGGGCCATGGTGGGAGCACTCTGGGACTCCCTGCTCCACTTGTGCAGGTGCTGAGACTGAGGGATGTTGTCGTTCTCTCACCACCTTATCCCCTCAAGAGAAAAGTCCCTTTCATTCATTCATTATGGATTCTCAAATCCCTAAAACCTCTAGTGAGAGAGAGGAAAATAGGACCTTGGCCTTGGCCTTAACCTTGACCTTGAGGCTGCCTCAGTCTTTTACTGGCTGGCCCCAGAGGCCCCTGGCCCTTCCAGTGCTGTTCAGAAACTGCAGCCCCCAGAATGATGAAGGAGAGAAGGGTGAAGCACCTTGTGGAAAGGTCCAGCTCTGTGGACTGTGAAGACTTTTAACTAAGGCCCACCGGTTCTGAAATTCACAACTCAGCTGACTGAGCAGGCTCTTCCCAGTCCCTTTACCGTTCAGCCACAAGCCTGCATAGGTTAACATTTCTGAGTAGAGACAGGTGAGGAAGCTTCTGGGGGAGTCAAAGATTCCTCTGTGCCAAGAAGCACAGTGACTTTGGTGAGATGTGCTTCGATCCAGTTGATCTTCTGTGGCAGCCAGCAACATGTTTCGTCTTCCAAGTCCTAGTTGAAGAGCCCAGAGGAAATGGAGGTTCCCAGTCTAGGTAGGACCTGAGCTTGGCTCATGGCACGGGGACTTGCCCTTCTCCGACAGCACAGTGGAGCTCCATGTCCAGCTGGTGTGGTTTGCTCAAGCCCTTGCGTGCAGAGGCTGCTCAGAGCTTGGAGTGAGAGCAGAGGAACCATGCTATCCTTTGGAACGAATGGGGAAAAGTCCACGAAGACTTTTCACCAGATACGTCACAGGCTTAAACTGTCCTAGGGACCTTTCCAGTCTATTGGATCACAAACTAAGGGTCTTTTCATGGTGCCCAGTGAAACCCAAGTCTTCCCACTGCTAGATGAGAGAGCTCTCAACTTGGGTTATTTATCTGGGGTCTGCTGTCCTTTGCCATCCCCTGAACCATGCTGACTGTTGAGGCAAACCACGATTAGGTCTGTCACCACACTTTTTCTAATCGTTCTTTTCTTTATTATTCTTACTTTCACATCTGTTAGCAGTTACCTCTCAGCAGTATCCCTGGCATCCTGAAGCCAGAGGAGCTGAAAGAGGAGATGCTAGTGGAGGGCAAAGGAGGAAGTGCAAGACTTGACATGCAGCAGAGTTCCGGGGTAGACACTGATGGTTACTGAACTCAGACTGTGAAGTCTTCCCATTTATTTTTGAAATGGGAGTTGATGCCTTTTGTACAATGTTATCAAAGTGTTACCTTACCCCCCACCCCTGGCCACTCAAACACAGAGCATTGAAATAAGCGTTACACATAAAAGCCAAACCCCAGGTTTTCACTGGGGCTACTTCATCCTCCCCTGTGACCTGCTGCTCCCCATATTCCCCAGAATTTGGACTGTGTCATGTGGGTATGTATTGTACTTTCAGTTTCTTGGCCTCATGGGAAAAGGCCTGGGACTAGATCTAGTCAGCTGGATTTTCTTCTGCAGAGCATGTTGATGACACAGTACCTATTTAAATGTCTTTGCCTTATACCTTATTTGGTCCCTCTGTTAATAACAGATTTATTATCATGTATATTTACTATTGAAGAATGGGAATGTGAGCCTCATAGTTACTGATCTATTTTGTACGCTGTAAAAAGCTTGTAATATAGGTTTGAGGTGGGCTGGCTATAAGAGCACTAAAACTTCTCACCTTTTAAACTGCTCTTTTTATCTGCTTGTGGGAATGTTGTCTCTTCAGTGGAAGATTGGGTGGTCTCATGTTGAGGCTGTTGCCCAGTCCCATTAACCCCCTTATTCCTTCCCAGAAGGAAGAGACGTTGCCCAGCCAAGCATCAGGAAGCTGTGCTAAAAGCCCTTGTGTGGGTTTGGTTTAATGCTGTTTTTCTCGAGTGGGAAAAACTTAATGGTTTCTTCTTACCGCCCTTTCTGGGAAACAGGCCAGTGGCCTCCAGGTCTTTCGATGAGCTCGATGTCCCCCTGTCCCTTGTCTCTGGCCCCCAAACCTGGATCACAGCACTTTAATATTCCAGGTTTTCTCTCTGGGGGGAGGTTTCCTCCAGCTACAGTGCCCCCAGTAGCTTTACCGCCTGGTCCCGCTGAGCGAGAGCACTTCGGGTTATCCTACCCAACAGATGGAAGGCTCCAGCCTCCAGAAAGTACACCAGCTCTCCCAGCTGGTGGAGGCGAGGAGACTGACCACTGCACTGGGGGCATCCCCTCACCCCACGGCTTCCCAGCTTGAAACCCAGACTCACCTCCAGGGAGAGGTGAGAGAAAATTGTAAATAGACTTGCTGCAGAGCAACTCAGGGTTGGGGTGTGTTTTAATTCTCCTGATCACTTGAAATAATCTGTAGGCTGCGTGCTTATGGGAGTGGGGGAGAAGTGTGACTCCAGGGTCCTTCCCTTCTGCAAAGCTCTGGGGGTGGAGGAAAGGGCGGCTGCGGCCCTTTGATGGCACTACACTGAGCTGTCTGTTCTTCTGGAAACCCAACCTACAATGAACTACAGATCGGATTCCTCACATTCCAGTTGTAGGCTCTCTTTCCCTATTGAATCTCAGTCCCCAGCTCCACGTGGTTATGGTGGTTCTCTGGGAGCCACCCTAACTTAGGGAATGGGAGGCATTACAACTCTGCCTTCAGTACTCATCTCTTAAAAGCAGAATGAAGCAAAACTACAACCACCTTCAAAACACTTACAAAAACAAAATAAAGGATAACTAACTGAAGGAAGGGTTTGGTTCCATTCAACTCCACATTCATTGTGCCTTTACTTGTGTTAGATTTCTGTGCTTTCTTCCTCTGTCCCTCTTTGAGGCAATTAAATCTTCCTTGATAACTGCTGTTTCCTTCTTTCTATTCTTGTTTCTGACAAGTGAGTGGGTTCCCTCTCTTAACTGTCTCGACCCTCATTCCACTGGTGGCAGAGGGGCTGAGCCTTCTCTTCTCATGTCTAACTGTTGTCTTTTCCCATGGTGACCAGCACGGGAGCCCTCATCAACACTGAATACAAGACTAGAGTGACGTGTGTGAAGAGCGTGTGTATGTACGTGCGCGTCTATCTTTGCATGTCGATCAGTTTCTCTCTTTTTAAAAAATAATTTATTGTATGATTTATTTTGGCATTGTTTCTGATTACAGTACTCCCTCCCCCACTTAGCATTGATTCCCCCTGTCACCCCAATGTGTAATCTGGTCTCAGGTTGGATTCTTTGGTACATTTCTTTCTTCTGGATGCCGTGCAGTTTAATTAAACCTTGCTTAAAAACAAACACAAAAAAAACCTGAAAACTGTGTACTCTTGTCTGGGATACTGCCGCAAGTGGTGGCAGAGAGTGGGAAGAAGTCTGCTGTCTCGGGGGTGTCGTGGTTTGACTCCAGGTCCCCTTGAGACAGTAGAAACACTTACTTGGACATAAGCATCTGCAGCTTCCTGAGAAGTTTCTCTCCTCCCCTCCTGCTGTGTTTGGAAACTCACAGTTCAACTTTGCCAAGCTGACCGGGTGATTCTGAGAGTTGGTCATTATTTGTATTTGCCACCTAACTCCCCTTGCCCATGATTTCAGGGAGCCCAGAGAGGTCCCCCCAGGCCTTGTCTTTATATCCCCAATGGTTCTCTCCACCTGTGTGCTTGGTAGATTCACATACTGAGGTGTGAAGAAAAGGTGAGGATGGAACACAGACTGTGTGTGTCTGTTTTTTTATGTGGATGTTGGCTTTTCTCCTTCACTCCTTTTTAAGTTGAAATCTTAGCTGACTTTTTGAACTTTGACTTTAGGTGTCAAAATTGAACGAGACAGTCTCGGCTTACTGTGGTCAGCTGACATAATCACCATAGATTTGATGAGCTTAACCTGTACTTTCATCACTAGCAGAGGTCTTGGAATTATTTCCTGGACTGATTCATAACAGGTGTGTGGATGAGTCACTCACATAGTTTTGATATAAAAACCTATGGGGGGAGGGAGTGAGGGGGGAAAAGGGCCTCCTTTCATTTTCATCCATGTTTGCCAGATAGGCCGAATTCTTGATTCTTTGATTCATCATTGTTATTAATATGATTAATAAACTACCTATTTATTGATGTAATTGTTCCTCCTGTGCCTTTGAATAGCCCTCAAATGGAGCTTGCCTAAATGACCCTTAACTTCCTAACTTCCTATAAGCTTTCTCTGTCCTTTTGGGATGGTATTGCTAGTCACACCCACCAGTGCACACAAAGACATGCGCACAGACTCGCAAAAGGATGCCAGACAGGTCCTTCCTGTGTAATTTCATTCCTTCCCCCATGATACTGTGTGTGGTTTAGCAGGTGATAAGGACACTAGTCTGTCCCACTTTAATTATTACCGAGGCATAGCTGCTTACAGTGAAAGTGTCGCTTCAGTGTTTCCTGACCCAGCCCAGTCACAGACTGCAAGTTACCGTAAGGAAGCTGCCTGTCTCTGACTTCCTGTTACTCTGCAGAGTTAAAAGGACTAAAATGTCAACCTCAGGATCCTCATCACCCTGGAAGATAACGATGGAGAGATGCTTTGTCTCTGACATCACCAGAGCTCAGTCTGGATCATTTTACACATAATTCATTCTACACTCCTAAGTTTAGGGGCTGTGAGATTTAAAGGACTGTATGCTGTCTGACCACAAAAAATGTTCATGCAAAAGATGGATAGCTGCTTGGCAGGAATGTCTTTTCCATTCATTCAGCAAGCATTGGTTGCATATTTTAGCTTTGTGCCAGACACTGACAGTATGAAGATGAATAGGACATGGTCTTTGCCTCCAAGGAGCTCACAGTCTAGCAGGAGAGCAGGACAGCCACCAGGAGAAACCTGTGAGGGATACTAAAAGTCTTTACGGTAATTAGCCAGGGAAGGATGGTGAGCAGCATTCCAGACATAGGAAACAGCACAGAAGAGGCACAGAAGCAAGAAACATTATGATGGTATCTCATCATAACTACTGGAGTACTGGAAATAGAAAGATTCAAGTAGGTATCCTTTCAGAGACCTTTCAATCTGGACATTCTGCAGTTCTCTGCCTGCTTCTCCAGTAGTCCCTGACTCTTGTAGACTTTCCTTGGACCAGTGCTGTATTTCCTGGTGGATGCTTCCATAGGCTCTGGTATGCACATTAAGTACTCATGGATTCCTCTGCTTCCTCTGTAATTAAGATAGGTAGGTTGTTCACCACCATCCCTTAAAAGCTTGCTGGGCACTTGTTACCATTGGCTATGAAGGACAATTTTTCGGTGTCCAGGCTATAGAAATAAATATGAACATAGGAAGTTGTTTGCTAGGTTCTATTGCCCTATTAAGAGATGAGAAATACCAGCTGGTAAAAAAGCCTCAATTCTACGGTAACACTCTCCATTTGTGGCAGCCCGCGCCCTTCGTTCTTGCAGCGCTCATTCATCTCCTAGAAAGCCTTCCTCAGGTGTGTACCCTTGCTCCCTCTGCTGTAGAACCTGCGTCTGTCTATTGGGCTTCCATGGTGGCGCAGCTGGTAGAGAATCCGCCTGCAATGTGGGAGACCTGAGTTCGATTCCTTGGTGGGGAAGATTCCCTGGAGAAGAGAACGTCTACCCACTCCAGTGTTCTCGACTGGAGAACTCCATGGACTGCATAGTCCATGAGGTCTCAAAGAGTTGGCTGTGACTGAGCAACTTCGACTTGCTGTCTATTACTCCTTGGATGTTTTAAGTGGTTAGGAGTATGATCTTTCAGACTTCCTGGGTTCGAATTCCAGTTCTTCCACTCACTAGTTGCGTGATCTTGGGCACATCTCAACCTCTCTACTTCCGTCTCCTTATTTGTGAAATGGAAATAATTCCAACTTCATGGGGTTCCTGTGAGAATTAACAGGGTGATATAGGTAAAATACCAGAGCTCAAAGCCTGGCATACACATAAGCTCTCAGTATTGGTTTTTATACCCTATATGAATCAACTACAACTAACTTGATTGTAATATTGTTGTTTTCCTATTTCTTGGTTTTATTGCTCTATTTCATTTGATATAGAAGGATGAGAGATAAATGCTTACCATCACCTAGAATTGGGTTCTGGTTTTTAATGGCGCCTGAGGCTTAACTGGGTTATTAGCTTTGGAAGATGGCCTGTAAATTACTGCTCTAATTTATATTTTTTCATTAAAAGCTCAGCTTGCCTCTTCTATAGAGGTCTTCTCTGGTCCTGAAACCCTTGTGTTTAGCCATTAAAAAATATTTTTAAATTAAGGGGCCATCATTCTCTCCACTCCCCACATTGTGTGGATCAATGGCACTAGTACACACAGACAGGAAGGTACACAGAATATCATATTATCTGTAACAAAATAAAAGCTAAGGCCTGGCCCTATTTCTCATATTTGAAACACAAATAAGGGGGCTAATGTGATGAAGTGCAGTGTTATTTATGTAGAACTTTACAAAGAAACTGACTCTGGTGTCAGATAATAATCCTAGGCCCTTCAAGGCCACCAAAAATTTTGTGACCTCTAACCCTCAGCGGATTTGCTTTGTGCCTTGTGGTGCTGAGCATTAGTAAAGCACTTGGCATCAAACCTGGCACCCAGAATTGCCCAAATAATGCTAGGTATTGAGACATTACTTTGCCGAAAAATGTCCGTCTAGTCAAAGCTATGGTTTTTCTGGTAGTCATGTATGTATGTGAGAGTTGGCCCATAAAGAAAGCTGAGTGCTGAAGAATTGATGCTTTTGAACTGTGGTGTTGGAGAAGACTCTTGAGAGTCCCTTTGGACTGCAGTTAGATCAAACCTGTCAATCTTAAATCAATCCTGAATATTCACTGGAAGGACTGATGGTGAAGCTGAAGCTCCAATATTTTGGCCACCTGATGCGAACAGATTCATTGGAAAAGACCCTGATGCTGGGAAAGATTGAAGGCAGGAGGAGAAGGGGATGACAGAGGATCAGATGGTTGGATGGCATCACCGACTCAATGGACATGAGTTTGAGCAAACTCCAGGAGTTGCTAATGGACAGGGAAGCCTGGAGTGCAGCAGTCCACGGGGTGGCAGAGTCGGACACGACTGAGCGACTGAACTGATTAACTGATTATGTAGTAGCTCTCTGAAAGTCTAGCCCATTAGGATAATGAAAATGGGTACGTGCAACACTGAGAAAGGGCAATGAGAACGAAAAAAGGGCGTGGGAATACAGTAGCGAGCTGCAAAGACTACATCTCCCGCCGGGCTTTGCGGCGGGGCTAGCCGGACTCAGTCGGTCCCGGCGCCACCGCGCGTCTTTCCGTGGAGGCCCCGGATGTAGACGGACCTGTGGGCCTAGCCTCACAGTGGCGCTAAGACCTGGGGCTCTCTTATTGGTCGTGTACCTTCCGGCTTGATTGACTGTGAAGGAGGGGCCTGCCTCCGAGGCGCGCGCGGCGTTCTGGCGACATCCAATCAGAAGCGTGGCCGGGCTTTGGCGGGAGGCGGGAAACCTGCGGCGGTGCAGATTTGGCGCGAGCGTGGCTGGGCTTTGCTCCTGTCCGTGTGGGGTATATCCAGCAGCTTGTCGTGGACAGTCCCTAAAGTTGTCTGCCGGAGACGTGAGGAAGAGCCGGCACTGAGGTGACGCATCCCTGTATGGTGGAAAGGAGAAGAGGCCCGGGTCCTTGGGGGCAGCGGAGTTTGTGAGAGCCTGGGGCAAGGACCGCGGGTTCTGTTAGGAGGAGAGCTCAGATCGCTGGAAGCTGATGAGGTCGGGGTCGGGTAGCGAGGAATGCACCCTCGGAATGGTCTGACAGTTGTGCTGAGTGCGATAGGAGGGCGATGTTCCCTGAACATCTGGGATTATGTGGGGCCGAGGTTGGGCGGAGTAGGGACTGAGGGCTTGGGGAAGCCTATAAGTATGGGAGGCTGCTGCTCTAAGATGGTGATAATGATCTACCCCGGGCCTGGAGCTAGAGAATTAGAAGTGTTATAGGCGCCAATTAAGATCAACTTCTTATTGCATGGTTTGAGTGGTTAAAAATTTGGGCTCTGGAGCCAGAATACCTGGTCTTATATCTTACCTTGCTATGATGTTGGATCTCACTGCCTCTCAGTTTTCTTATCAGTAAGAAAAGGATAATAGTACCTACCTCTAAAATGGTTGTAAAACTTAAATGAAAGTACCAGTCGCTCAGTTGTGTCTGACTTTTTGCGACCCCATCTCCAGGCCAGAATACTGGAGTGTGTAGCCTTTCCCCTCTCCAGAGGATCTTCCCAACCCAGGGATCAAATGCAGGTCTCCTGCATTGCAGGTGGATTCTTTACCAGCTGAGCCACAAGGGAAGCTGAGTAAACACCTAAAATACTTATGACAGCCTGTTATGTGTAGTAGGTAGACAAGGTATTTGTTGTTGCATAGATTTGGATATGAAGCAGAATTAAATGCTAAAATATTGTCACAGCATAATCTGATTATGAAATGAGTGTTGGTCATTGGTTTAAGTTCCATGTTAATTATTTTTCCTTCACTTTTACATATTGACTGGATGTCCTGTTCCCTTTTTTGTACCCAGCTGTGCTGCCATCATGCCTCAAACCCGCTCTCAGTCACAGGCTACAATCAGCTTTCCAAAAAAGAAACCGTCTCATACAGTGGACAAAGCTAAAAGCTCCAGTGACACCAAACTAGAATTGACAAATGCCCAGGCTATCCTGCTTTCTCCCTGTGCAAAAATTCTGCCTCTTAGCCCCAGAAAACGTCTGGGTAAGATATCCAATGTTTGAGTACTTTTTAATCGGTAGCTCTCAGCTTCTTTCTTAATAATAAGATGCCTTTGAAACAGCTTTCTGAGTATAGTTAAGATGATTCTATTCCCTTTGGTTATTTTCAGAATGGTTGCTAACTGCTTATGGAACTTCAGAGTTAAGCTACTTTTGAAATCACTTTCTGAACCACTTGATAGGGCTGATCTTCAATTCCTTAATACTGAACTTGGTTCTGTCAATGTTGCTCTTCATTACATAATATTTTGAAACTTGTCTCAGTGGCTGTGAAATTATGAGAAACAGATGACAGTTCTTGTGGTTGATAATCCTTTCTTGTTTTTTGTTTTAAGTTTTGTTTTCTTTTTTCCTTTTCTTGTTTTAGCGCATCTATTTTTAATGAGGGGTGATTTAGTAGTATCTGGAGACATTTTTAGTTGTCATAACTGAGGGGATGCTACTGACAGTGGATGCTGCTCACTGTGATACAGTGCACAGGATAGTCCCCCACAATGAAAAATTATTTGGTCCAAGATATCAATGATGCCAAGGTTGGAAAGCCCTGTTTTGAGCAATCCTAGAATCTCCTCCCATTAAAACCTCTACCAACTGGTAAGACTCAGTGGTGCCATCTGGTGGCCGATGTTTGCTTCTTGCTGAGAGGCATTTTATTTTGGTGATTCTGATCCTGGTAGAAATTCATCCCCCTTTTGAGAGGCAGATGCAGAGATCTTTCCAAGTCCTTTTAGTGTCCACTGCTATGAGTGACCCATTCTGATTTTAATATGTTTCAGGTGACGACAACCTGTGCAACACTCCCCGTTTATCTCCCTGTTCTCCACCAAAGCAAGGCAAGAAAGAGAATGGTCCCCCTCGCTCACAGACATCAAAGGGACGCAGATTGGTATTTGACAATCAGCTCTCAACTAAGTCTCCTAGCAAAAGAGAACACACCAGAGTTCACCAAAACAAAACACATTCCTCAGTTCCGAAAGGTCAGGACATCACAACCAATTCTGAGCAGAGATGTCCGCTGGAGAAAGAACCTGCATGTCTGAGACTGTTCAAGCAAGAAGGTTGGTTCTTACAAGGCAGCTGTTAGCGCAGCCTTGTAACCAAGGCTGGTGACTCCAAGTGAAAGCTGGTGGGTCTTCTCCGTCCCCTCTGTCGTGTCTAATTGTCCTTTCATGTCTGGCACAGGCACTTGCTACCAGCAAGCGAAACAGGTCCTGACTACAGCTGTCCCGGATCAGCTGCCTGCCAGGGAAAAGGAGATGGCTGTCATCAGGAATTTCCTAAGAGAGCACATCTGTGGGAAAAAAGCTGGAAGTCTTTATCTTTCTGGTGCTCCTGGAACTGGAAAAACTGCCTGCTTAAGCCGAATTCTGCAAGACCTCAAGGTACATTGAGAGTCTGAATTATGATGCTCTTGCTAAAATGACATCTGGTTATTAAGGGTTAAGAAGCAGTGGAAATACTTCAGGGATTGCAGTTTTCCCCCAAATAAGACATTTTTAATTTCACTGTCAAAATCTTTCCAAATGAAAGTGGAGCTTATTCTCTTATATGCTGTTAACCCCTCAAAGACACTTCACGTTCCATCAGAAGTTTATCTGAGGCCAAACTAACTTGCCTGTTTGCATTTTTTTCTAGAAGGAACTAAAAGGCTTTAAAACTATCGTGCTGAATTGCATGTCCTTGAGGAGTGCCCAGGCTGTATTCCCAGCTATTGCTCAGGAGATTTGTCAGGAAGAAGTATCCAGGCCAGCTGGGAAGGACATGATGAGGAAACTGGAAAACCATATGACTGCAGAGAAGGGCCCCATGATGTAAGCGTTGCTCTGCCGCATGTTGCTTTATGAAAGTCTGCAAGATCTGTTGCCCACAAACTCACAGTCTCGTGTCTTGAATTTATTAGTTTACTCATAAAAAGAACATTTCCTATATTTTCTCTCCGAGATGTAGTTACATAAGCTTAAAGGGGAAAAAGAAAAGAAAAAAGAAAAACCTTCTAATTTCAAATTGGGGGAAAATGTTTCTAAGCTCATCGCTGTATGTTACCAAATGGGGTAGATGACTATCTTCAAACTGGCTTGAGGTATAGGAATGTGACTTAGAGTCAGCCCACATCAAACAGATTGGAGAGTTAAGAAGGTGAACGTCGATCCTCATTGTTTCTCTTTCTTTGTAGTGTGTTGGTGTTGGACGAGATGGATCAGCTGGACAGCAGAGGGCAGGATGTCTTGTACACGCTCTTTGAATGGCCGTGGCTAAGCAGTTCTCGGTTGGTGCTGATAGGTTAGTGCTCTGTTGTTTTTGTTACATGGTGGTTCTAAACACTTCTTTTTTAGATCTCTTCAGCTTATCAGTTTTGTTTTTTTTTTTTTTCACTGTGCCACATAGCTTGTGGGATCTTAGTTCCCCAGCCAGGGATTGAACCTTGGCTATGAAAGTGAGTAGTCCTAACCACTGGACTGCCAGAGAACTCCGTTATCACCTATTACTTCATCTTACACCAGCTTTCTGCTCTCTTACCATAATAAGAAAGTTACTATAGGGACTTCCCTGGTGGTCCAGTGGTTAAGACTCCACACTTCCATGGCAGAGGGCATGAGTTGGTCAGGGAACTGATATCCCACATACTGTGCAGGTCAGTCAAAAAAAAATAAAAATAAATAAAAGAATTTTTTTAAAAAAAGGACAGTTATTATAAAATAATAGGGAACTTAATCAAATCAGGGCTTCTCTTGTGGCTCAGCCGGTAAAGAATCCGCCTACAATGCAGGAGATCAAGGTTCAATCCCTGGGTTGGGAAGATCCCCTGGAAAAGGGAACGGCTACTCACTCCAGTGTTCTGGCCTGGAGAATTCCATGGACTGAGCGACTTTCACTTTCACTAATCAAGTCAATTTTGTTAACTGAATAGAAATGACATAATATTGCATTTCAGCAACAGTCAATTTTGGGAGTGTCTGGTCCTGCTTATTAGTCAAAATTTTAAACCTAATTTGAAAAGAGCATTCTTCCCACATGCCTTGACGAAGGCCCAGCACAGCCAAGAAATAAAGAACACTTTAAAAAAAGTGTTCTTCAGTGATTGTGTACATCCTACTTAATGAGTATTGAGAGTGGGGGACAAGTGGGAAGCAACAGTTGGAATGCTGGATTATGACTAGAAATTTTATTCAGCTTTCAGAAGGTTTGTTTTTCCTTTTAGGATGATTTGACCACTGATAAGTGTTACATTATCTCCTCCTCAGGTATTGCTAATACTCTGGATCTCACAGACAGAATTCTGCCGAGGCTTCAAGCTAGAGAAAAATGTAAGCCACAGCTGTTGAACTTCCCACCTTATACCAAAAATCAGATAGCCACCATCTTGCAGGATCGACTGAATCAGGTGAGTGCCAAGCGCTGTACCAAGGTGTCTGTTCCTTGTATCACCTGTGAAAGGGAAATCTAACAATGACTCTAAAATATTTTGCTTTGATTGCATTGCTAAACAAGGCGTTCCTGTGGGCCATAGTGAGAACATTTTATGTGAATTTCCACCCATGGCTCCATTTATTGGGTGCTTCAGTGTTGGAATAAACATAAGAGAGGAGTCACTCAAATGCTTCTCTAATAGTCTTATGGAGCAGGAAATGGCAACCTACTGCAGTGTTCTTGCCTGGAGAATTTCACGGATAGAGGAGCCTGGCGGGCTACAGCCTAGGGGGTTGCAAACAGTCGGACAGGACTGAGCAACTAACACAATAGTCTTAAAATAGGACCTGAGGGAGCTTCCCTGGTGGTTCAGTGGTAAAGAATCTGCCTGCCAGTGCCGGAGACATGGGTTCCATCCCTGATCTGGGAGGATCCCACAAGCCTTGGAGCAACTGAGCCTGGCAACTGCAAGTACTAGAGTCTATGCTTCACAACAGGAGAGGCCACCTCAATGAGAAGCCCTTTCACCACAACTAGAGAGCAGCTCCTGCTTACCACAACCACTGAAAAGCCCATGCAGCAAGGAAGACCCAGCACAGCCAAAAAGAAATAGAATTTTTTTTTTTAATTAAAAGAAAAAATAGGACCTGGAACTTCCCTGGCGGTCCAGTGGCTAAGACTTGGCACTTCCAAAGCAGAGGGACATAGCTTCTATCCCTGGTCGGGGAACTAAGATCCCATATGTCTCATGGTCTGGCCAAAAAATGTTTTTAAAAAAATAGGACCAAGTAAACACTTTCTCTTGTAAATGAGCAAGTAGATTTTATTTTAGTGTAGTTTCGGTAATTTAAATTTCAGTTGCTTTTTTCCCCTTTGTGAACCTCTACCACATTCCTACAAAATGCTTCAGTGTATAAAATTCCCATTTCTAAGCAGAAAAGGCATCTCCTAGACCCTAAACTTTGGTCAATCAAGTTTAGAATTAAGTGTGAAAGCAGTCATGTCTGAGACCTAAATTGCAGAGGAGGAGCCGTACAGTTTCAACTGGAAACTTCTATGTCTTGTCCAAAGGCGTCTAATGACCAGGTCCTAGACAATGCTGCCATTCAGTTCTGCGCCCGCAAAGTCTCTGCTGTTTCGGGAGATGTTCGCAAAGCGCTTGATATTTGCAGGTGAGTTATGGCACTGTTGGCTGCTTTTATTAAAAAAGAAGAAATGCTGTTAATTGTCTTGTGTAACTCAAATGAATGTGGCTTAAGAGGCTCCATTCTGCCACTTTTTACGTTCAGAAAGGAGGACTTGTTTCTCAGTGGGGAGCTCTGCATTTCCACCGTGTTAATGTCTGAAACATTATCAGTCCATTACCTACAGAGGGGGAAACAAATGAGATGTTGCTGGCACTCCCTGTGGTGATTATAGATTGGTTAATTACATTTGTATTAAAAAAGACTCCAGTTTACTTTTCCATTAGCTGGTCTCAAGCAGGTTTATTTATGGACCTGAACCATCCTTGCCTTGAGACTTTTTTTGCCCCTTCCTTTGCTTTTATGAGCACCCCTTCCTCCAGCTGGTGGTCCCCCACAGTTGTGTTCCAGACCTCTCTCTCTCTCTCCCTTCCCATCCCCCGGCCTCTCCTGCTGGGGAAAGCCTCTGTGCTGACTGATGAAATTTCTTCTTTCCCAGTAGGAACACTGGGTCCATTAAAATGACACTTGCTGTGTTGGCCCGCTGGTCCAACCTCCCCCTACTGCCATGCAGAAGATCCAGGTCTGGCTCATGGCTTCCTGTGGGCAAAGTACTTTGGAGAGAGCAGTGGGAGAGTAAGCTCTTCCTCTTGCTAGATGGTGTGATCCTGGATTTGAAAGTTCTTCCTAGTCAGCAAACTACTTGGATAAAGACTGCAGCTATGAGCAAGAGTCATGTAGGCCGGTGTGGTTTTAGCCTACACATAGCCTATGTATAGAAAACTGCGGGCTCTTCTCAGGTCTGGTGTGTGTGGGTGGTACTGTCTCTCTTTAGTCAGTCACCCACACTGGATGTCCTCTCTTCTATCCATGACATGTTTTCCTTGTCCAAAATATTATCATTGGCTCAATGTAGGATGACTTACTTGGCCTCTATAAGAGGAAATCGAGTAGTGTTGAAGTTTCTCAGATTCCCTGGTCCATGATTTATTTCGAGGCAATTAAGTCCCCTGGAGTTGAGGCATAATCCAATTTTCTTGGGTTTTAAAATTATAAAACATGTTGCTTTGTGTTAATGTGCCTGTTTTTGGGCTTGGTGTTTTGGTGTGGTGTTTGGTTTGGCTCAGCCTAAATTAACTCTAGAAATTCTTTTTTTTTTTTTTTTTTTACAGGAGGGCTATTGAAATTGTAGAGTCAGATATCAAAAGTCAGACTATCCTCAAACCACTCTCTGAATGTGAGTAGTTTATCTCTGTTCCCTCTTCTTTTATAATTAGAAGCTTTACTTTTCTGAAAGAGATAGAAAGATGAGATGAGCATAGTTAAATCCTGTTATCCATTTGTGTATGGGTGTCTGTGTTTTTCATCAATTTCATCTACTTTATTTCAGTCTTGCCTGCCAGTGCTGTAATCCACGCATTACTGGAAATGAGTTCTCCAGGGTGTTACATGAATAGTTGGGACAGAGTCGGTTTTCTTTCCAAGTCCTAGGAATGAAAACTAGACAGTAAGATTGGGTCAGCTTCTCTCTGGGTACTTATATTGAGTGCACTTTAGGTCTTGATATAGGTGAAAGCAAAGCCCAGGAAATAAAGAGTCAGACAGGGAAAGAATTAGTTCAACTTGGGATATCGCTAGACTTTCAACAAGCCTCAGAGGGTGGTGATACAAAGATAGCATTGCTACAGTAAACTGCAAGCTTTCACAAAAACGACAGAATTAGTTTTCCTTTCCTTCAGCCTTGTTCTCTTAGCTGTAGAGGATGTAAAATGGCCATGAACTACGTATCTTGTGGTTAACATCCAGTGTTAATCTTTAGAAACAGGACAGTCTGATTTGATTGTTTCTTCCTTATCATCAACTTGTTGAAAGAAGATTAATAAAAATATTTCAGAAGTAGCCAAACAGTGCTTTGACTGATAGTAGGTAATACTTGCCAATGCACAGACTAGATACTGGTTTCTCTTCAACTTTTCACATCATTCCCTTTTTCCCCTACCAGTAACATTTAGGCTTGTCAGTGGATCCTGTGAGCACCACTCACACACCCAGAACTAAAAGAAGTTGTGACTTCTTTCATAAATTATTAAACTAACTTAATTCCTGTCTTTTAACCTCTGGTAGATGTGGTTAGCTTTAATGGCTTTAGAAAGCTACAGGGAGACTGACTTTAACTAAATATAAGAAGACACTTTCCTAGACTTCCCTGGTGGGTCCAGGGAAGTGGTTAAGACTCCGCACCTCCAATGCAGGGGGTGTGGGTTTGATCCTTGGTTGGGGAATTAAAACCCCACATGCCTTGTGGTGCAGCCAAAAAGGAAAAAAGAAGGCACTTTCCATTAAAGAGCACTAGCTGGTCTTCTTTTGACACAGAGGGGGTGTCCCAGTATTGAAGAGATTCAGACACAAGCTGGGTAGGTGACCCCTTCTTGGTGTTATGAAAAGACTCAGCCATTGGGTAGGGAGTAAGACTAGACCTGAATTCTTCTCAACTTTGTGAGATTCTGCTTCTTGACCACTGAACTCCAGTTTCTCCAGTATGCTTAGTCCTCGGTAGCATCCTGTCTGTGATCATGAAATTGAAACAGTGAAGGACAGGAAAACCTGGTGTGCTTCAGTCCACGGGGTTGCAGAGTCGTACATGACTTAGCGGCTGAACAACAATCAAAGCAAACTCTTGTGGGACAACTGACTTGGTCTCAGGAAGTAACATGAGGCAAAGTTTGTTACAGAGCAAATCCTCCTCCGTCTTGCCATTCCTGCATCCAAACAATGAGGCCACAGTCCTCTGTGGCTCCTTGGCAGTTTCCCAACCTCCGGCCCCTGAGATGCTATCTGCTGAAATATCCGATGACATTTTCTCAAGTGTTGCTCTCCTGGAGATCGGCTTGGGCAAATGAACCAAACCTCAGAGGTCATTTGGGGAGGCTGTCTAGAGGCCTTAGGACTGTCCATGTTTAGCCACTCATTTGATTTAAAATATTAGGTAATTTTTCCAGCCTTTAACAAAAACCAGGCCCCGTCATCTTTGTTTCAAGGTTCTGTCCTTCTTTGTCTCTGAGATATTAGGAACCTTACATCAGTTCTCTGTCTGGTCCTTATTCTTTCATGAGGTAGATTTCATCTCTTTGACATTAGATTGCATCATACCAGATAAAACAGCTCAGCGTTCTGCCTAGAAAGGATAACCCTACTTTCCAAGTCATGTCACATTTTGGCATCTTCCTGAGGATCACACTGTGTCTCATCTTTTGACTTTGTGTTACAGAACTGGAACCTCTCTGTTTTGCTCTTGAATTTCCTTCCACTAAAACATAGTATCTCATCTGTCTTGATTCGTATTTAACTGTAAAAATACAATATTTAAAAAATCAAATTAATCCTGATTTATTTACTTGCTAGGTAAATCACCCTCTGAGTCACTGGTTCCCAGGCGGGTTGGTGTTATTCACATATCACAAGTCATCTCTGAAGTTGATGGAAACAGAATGCCTTTGAGCCAGGAAGGAGCACGAGATTCCTTCCCCCTCCAGCAGAAGATCTTGGTCTGCTCTTTGCTGCTCTTGACCAGGCGGTTGAAAATCAAAGAGGTCACCCTGGGGAAGGTTAGTCAGGAATCTCAGCAGATGGAGCTGGGGTGGAGAGGAGAATCTGCTTTGCAGAGCAGATATTTTCCTAAAGGCCTATGATGCTGCAGCTGATGTGAATTAAAAATGGATTTTAACGGTGAGAATAAGTACTGGTATCATGTAAAAGGCAGCTGACTTTTATTTCCCTTGGGCTGTGGTTGAGACTTTATCATTAATCTTCTCCCCTTTATTTCTGCCTCTCCCCATGAAACACAATAAAGCCCCCTCCGTGCATTGCAGTATTGGTTTTCGGCGGTACCTCCAGAATGCCTTTGCAAGGATTTTATTGAAAATGGAGAGCATTAGGGTATTCAGATAACTCTTTTGCCAACCCAGGTTTACATTATTTTAAAAGATTACAAAGTTAGAAGAGATAGGGCTTTTAAACCACATTTGTTTTCCCTTGTTTCCGTCCAGTTACACGAAGCCTATAGTAACGTCTGTCGCAAACAGCAGGTGGCAGCTGTGGACCAGTCAGAGTGTTTGTCACTTTCAGGTCTCTTGGAGGCCAGAGGCATTTTCGGATTAAAGAAAAACAAGGAAACCCGCTTCACAAAGGTACAACGAACTGCTTCTTTGTGACATTGCTTTTAATTGTCCTGCTTTGAAGAGCTCATCTTTTGCTACAGTAAACATTTAAAAATGATTCCAATTAGATAAACACTTTTTTTGTTTGTTTGTTTGTTAGGTAGGATTTAAGATGTGTGAAGATATGGCTGTAGTATGAATCAGATTTTTTTCCCCCCATGTTATTGGAAAAGCAGTGTTTAACTTGCTTGACTCTTGTGAGAAAAGTTGAACATAGTAAAGGTTTCTGTAATAAAAACTTGGCTTTTGTGAGCTCTCCACCACAAAACGTCCCTTTCTCTTCCCTGCAGGTGTCTCTGAAGATTGAAGAGCAGGAAATAGAGCATGCGCTGAAAGACAAAGCTTTAGTTGGAAATATCTTAGCTACTGGATTGCCTTAAATTCTTTTCTACTAATACCCCACCCGGAAGTATCCAGCTAGCATTTAGAGACCGATGGAGTCTTCATTTTAGTACTTTATACACTCAGGTCTGAAAGCAGATGACCTTTTTTTACTTAAAACTGATAAAATCTAATCTATAGATTCGTGACTATTAGCACAGAATTACACCTTTGAGTTTTATTATATTTATGCATTACAAACTACCAAGTAGACCCTTTTTAATTACATTCACTACCTCTACCCTGAGTGTGCCCCTAACCAACATGCTTACAAGTATACAGATGGATGCTGCAGAAAGTTCATATATTTATTTCTTAGTCTCCTAAAACATTGGTGTATTTTTAAGAACTTTTGGATCAGAGGAAGCAGAACGAAAAAGGAGACTCCAGACAAATAAGCAAGTTGATGTGGAGATTTGGAGGACACTTTGATCAAAGGATATCTTTTTTTTTTTGGAGTGTACTGTGTTCATGTTTTGTTGCAGATACTTCCACACTGTGACATTTTAAAGACTCATTGAATTTCCTGGGCACTCCCAAGGTTGTGGGGGTGGTCAGGAGAATGTGACTACAGATTGTGAATATATTTATTTTCAAGTTGCAGTCTTTGTCTTCTTCAGCAATCACATTTCAAGAGAGCTCCAACTTTTCAGAAGGCAACGTGAAAATTCCTCCCCAAACTATCCCACGGTCCAAGCTGCCCTCAGCTGAAGCCACTTGTTTCAAGACGCCCTTGTTTGGGTTTGGATTGTCATTGAAACCTCATTTTCCCAGTCTTCTTAGATAAATTAATCCACATGGTTACTCAAGTCCCCACTTTTCTGGGTTTGGCTTCCAGTGACATTAAATGGCAATTTGTGATGGGGACACCAGAGGGCACCATGATAACACTGACTATCTTAGGAGTGCAGGTGTGGACTGGGGTAGTTTGGAGGGAAGGGAGAAAAAAACTGATGTTTGATTCTTCTGGGAGATTGCTGTACTTTTATAACTCAAGCATATGCTTGGAATGCAAACCATGTGTGATAGGAATGGTCTGACAGCCAGTGACCAAGTCTGTGCTGCTCCCTGGGTTCTGCCTCCTGCCTTCCTGACATGGCCTGGGTTTGAGAACTTGGTATGTGTACAAATGATCAGTTGGCCACTCTTTCATTCATGCTGCCCACTGTATCCTTGCAATGTGATCTGGGCTGCGGCAGGTGGCACAGGATAGAAGGAGGACACATAGAGCCCTCTGAAATGAACACTACCTGCTAGTGTGTGTAGCAGAGCGTAGTCTGTAGACAGGAGTCTGAATGTCTCACACTCCTTCACTAGAGCATTTGTTCCCTCTGAGGTCAATTTGTGAGGGGAGAACACTGGTCTATACCTAGCAGCTTGGAAAGTGTCCGGGGCTATAAGGGTTAACGAGCATAATTGCAGAGATTGTCCGAAGGCTGATGGAAAGCAGAGACTGAATGGGATTGAGAACAGATGCGAGGCTTGATTTAAATTACATTTTATTGGATGCTGCAGCCTTAAGAGACGTGACTGCTTTACAGTTTGTTTCCACACTGTGGGCAGCTGCTGTCTGTTCTGTGTCCACAGTAGGATCCTGCCCAAAGAGGAGCAACCTCCCCACCTCGTTGTGTTTGAGGCTTGGCGCCTTCCTCTTAACTGTAGGGCTGGAGTCAGGAACATGGCTTGACTCGCATTGGGGCTGCTGTGTATCCTCTGTGGCACTGAGCCAAGATCGCATTTGCAGATTCAAAGAGGCCAAATTTCTTCCCCCCTCTACCTCCTCCCTCTCCCTTTCCCCTGGTATTAGGAAATAGGGTTTTCTGTGTACTGGTTTGTTCGTTTTCCTTCCCTTCGGTTCTCCCCCCACTGTCAATTTCTAGGTCATTGCTGCTCTTAAGACTTCAGCAATTGGAACAGGGCTGGTTCTGTCAACGATGCGTGAAGCTGACTTCGAGTCCCTGCTTGGCTTCCGCTGCCCTTGTGGGAGCACAGGCTGATGTATGTTTGTCAGCGGAGTCTTAAATGTAATTCAGACAGCCGGGGAGCAGACTGAGAGCAGGAAGAAAGTCCTTTCCTCACCGAAGCTGAGAGCCCTGGGAAGGCAGTGGGATTTTAAGGGGGCTGGGCTGGGCTTGTGGTTACTGGTTTCTGCCAGGAGCATAGGCCGTTTCACATGGAGTAGTGGCAGAGATGCTGACCTACATTCTTCCTCTCGAAGGTGGTGGGGTGTGTGTGTCTGTCTCCTGGTTTATTTATTTCTTCACAGAAGCAGAGGAAGCTTCTATAGAGTGTTGGGTGGGTATTGCCATGGAACGCACACAGACACAATAAAACTGGTGTGAGTTTCAACCCTGGAGCTGCAACTGACAATTCTGGCTCAGTGAAGACCTGCCTGTGGCTGGATGACTGGCAAGAGGGTGTGAGGTCCAAGCTGCCCAGAGATCCAAAGTTGGCAGAGCTCTTTCCTTCTTCCCCCTCATTGCGCCCTTTTAAGATACACCAATAAAAACTGAGGAGTAGGAAGGAGATACGACTTGGGGCTTTTTAAAAATATCTGTGGAGAGGTTACCTTGACTACTGAGAGAGAGACCAAAACAGAGCCGAGGTGGAGAGCTTTTTTAACACTTGTATCTGTCTCCAACACTTAGTACAGGGCCCGAGACCTGGGTAGGGGTGGTATTCCATTAACAGTTGTTGAGTGAACAGATCCATGACAGAGTAAGACGCTGCCTCCCTCTCCATCTTGAGGACAGTTCTGATCTGGAGGAAGCCGGGGCTGGTGCTTCTGCACAGAGGTGGAGCAGGAGAGGGGACGCCCCATCCTGTGGCACGTGTCAGCGCGGTGCTTCTCAGCCTCACAGATGCGTTCCAATGGCTCCCTCTGATGTGATACTTTGCTTGAGGCAACTTCCATGTTGCTCCCAGGAGGCCCTGGCTTTGGGGGAGAGAGTCCCACCTACTGGCTGGGAGGAGGGGGTGTCTGTCTGGATGTTACCCAGTGTCCCCAGAGGTGGGCCAGAAGCTGTGCAGCCTCTAGTTGGCAAGGGGTTGGAGAGGAGCCCACCTTTGGGGTCGTGTGCTGTTTTAACTTTTGAGGAAAAGGTGTGATCTCAGGTTCCTCCTGAAAAGATCAGGTGCCCTCGGAGACCTTTTAAGTTAGACGAACAGCAGCAGGTCTCCGCCTTCTCAGAAGGGGTGGGTCTGCAGGGGGAGAAGCTGTGCCCTCTGGCCTCCCCTTGATTTTCAACCCCGGCCCCAGGGTGCTGGCAGTAGAAGCTAATTGGGTGCGAGGGGCCTGGGTAAAGGCTGTCTGAAGCCTGGCAAAAGGAGGGAGCCAGCTCCTTTTTTAAAAAGCTCTAATTGAGTTCTGAATCAGCCTCGCTGCCTTTGATCCCGCCTCTGTTTCCCACACTGCCTGAAAGAGCTTCATCAGCACTTTACAACAAGGGTGCGCCTGCTCCCCACACCCGCCCCCCTCTCCTGACGCTCTGCCGCCGCCATCCACTGCTTGTCTCCTTCAGTTAAGATAATGAAGATGCTGAGAGATAAAATGTGTATTTAATAAGGGTGGGGGTAGGGAGGCGGAAAGGGGCAGCCAGGGCCTTCCCTAGTTTGGGGCCCAGCCAAGACTGGGCTGAAAGCAAAGCTAGAGTAAGACTTGGCCCCAGGGTGTGGGGGTTTCTGGGCCTAGATCCAGTTGACTTCACTGCCTGCTGTTTGCCCTAAATTCCCCCACCTCCACCCTCTCACCCCCACACTCCTTTCTTTCCTCTCTGCGTGCTCCCAGTGGGAAAAGCGAGTCTTGCTTTGACCTTATTTTCAGCTGGTAGCTTGGCCTACGGTGTGATGCCCCCCACCCCAGAGTCAGCAGCAAGGTCGGGCTAGGGCAGCCCCTCCAGCCTGGGCCTGTAGAAGCTGTGGGTTCACAGTGGGGGGTGAAAAAGAGCTGGAGTTAATGAAGACCAGCTGTAGTCTGGGTTCTGCCCACACTTAGCTGTGGGCCAGCCTTTGGTGGTGGTGAGAAGGATGAGGGTACGTGACCTCCATCCCTGGGCACAAGGATATCCTGTGGCAGCTGAGGCTGGTTCTGCTCTCTGAGCATGGCTTTATCCTTAGGTTGTAAGAGAGTCGTCTGTTTCCCTCTTCCCCTGCTCCTCCCCTCCCCAATGACACTCAGCCCTTATTGAGCTTTATAACTGTAGTGGTGGCCCAGCTGAGATCTGAAGATCTCCAAGCTCTTCTGTAAACACTCATTAACTGCCTGGGAAGAACCCAGAGCCCTGGTTAACAGCTGGGAGAGAACTGAGGCACATTAGGGTGAAAGGCTTGACCTGAGCTCACCCCACCGGCTCCACCCTGGGGCCCTCCAAACCTGCCATCCAGCTCCTCTCCCCAGTTCCTGCCAGACAGGCAATGCTGCCACCGTCTCCCCCTTCTAGGAAGAGGCCGTGCCCTCTCCCTTCCATGACTGTGTCCCTGACTTCCCCTGGCCCTTCACCCCATGACGTTTCCCCTGTTTTGCTGCTGGAGGTGTGTGCAACTCCCCTTGCAAAATGTTTACCAGGCTCTCTGCAGCCTTCCCTCCACATTCCTTGGCCCACCTTGCCCCCCAGCCCTGAGTTCTCCCTTTGAGAAAGTGGGCTATCCTAAACTGGGTCTGTAACCGTGAAGTTGTGGGCTTCCCTGGTGGTTCAGCGGTAAAGAATCCACCTGCCAAAATGCAGGATTTGATCCCTGGGTCAGGAAGATTCCCTGGAGAAGGAAATGGCAACCCTCCCCAGTGTTCTTGCCTAGAAAAGCCCAGGGACAGAGGAGACTGGTGGGCTACAGTCCATAGGGTCACAAAGAGTCGGACATGACTGAGCAACTAAACAACAAACTTGAAGTTGATCTAATTATGCTGAGGCCCTCTTGCCCCCTATTTATCCTAAACAGTACCTGGGAAAATACTCTCCTTTAACATATTCATTCTGATAAAGCTTCAGAATCCCATTGAGGG